ACGGATGACACCATCACAATCGTACACAACGCCCGTAATGACGCCATTCATTTGACTGGAGTTTCAGTTCTGGCTAGTACGATCTGGCCCAAATCTCATCCAGCGTAATGATATGGTGTAAGAAAGCCTCTCCTTCATGCTCATAGTGCTCCAAGTGAATACAAGCAGCATCATATCGTAGCCATTTCTGCATTTCCATCAAATGATGTGGACCTCATCGAAAACATCGTGACGACACTTACTTTAGACCGCAAGCTAATATGTGGCTCAGTTCTTTGTGTGACGTAGGAAGGGCAAGTCTTTTTGCTGAGAGGTAAGGGAGGTGTGTAACTAACATGTGGTATACGCGACATGCTTTGGTTTCATTGCGTGGCATCTTTACAGCAGTGTTGCCACTATTAAAGTTCCAGCCCTCGTATTACCTCTAACATTGAAGAGGTTTTGTTTGTGTGTATTCGATATCTGCAAATGACTTAATTTCAGAATTCTGCAGACTGAAAAGCTAAAAATGAAGATGAAGCCAAATCTAAAGGAAAAGGCAGTTACAAGGTACCTAACTCTTGATAATGAAAGGATGCTGGCGTATGCAAAAAGCCCTAAATTATATAGATATGAATATTTTGTGCCACTCCCTGTGTTTGTGTTGCTACTCTCGTAGGTTTAAAACTGTCTGAAAGCACTGAAAGGAATTTAGACCACCTCGTCTCCAAATTTTCACCTGCCATTAAATCTGAAGCATTTGCTTTCCTACTGTTTCAAGCAGCCCAGTTCAAGCTTGGCACTCTAAAATGGAACTGCCTCCCACTGAACCTTCAAATGTCATTATTCTGCAAAAATGATAAAATGCATTCAAAGTGGCAAGTCTCTATGTCAAAGATCTGTGGGAGCTGCACTTTTTGTGCTTATGAATAATATAACCACCCAAGCAGGCGAGGGAGCCAATGTTTTCATCCTCTCTTTCAAATCTGGTCCTCAAACCATGGTCCCTAAAACACTCACTACTGTCCAAAATGGCTTCTGGGAGCCACAATCCAACATCTTGAGACCCAAATTTAGGGATCACTAATTTGGAACCCATCTTTATACAGGCAAAAATAATTCTACCTATCCAATGTCTACTGCTGATGCTGTAATGAACAAAACAGAATAATAACAAACAGTTAATTTACTTCTAAAAAAATTCTTAAGCTCCATGTTTGCCCATATTCATATCCATAAATGCGGTGCAGCTAGTTAGTAGCCAGAGGCATTAAATCACTACTGACTGAGAGGTCATGGGTTCAAAGCCAGCCAGGGTCAGAGTGAGCTCCCGACCATTAATAGTCTAGCTTGCTGTTGACCTATGCAGCCCGAAAGACAGTTGCATCTGTCAAGTAGGAAATTTAGGTACCGCTTTATGAAGGGAGGCAAATTCAACTAATTTATGATGTCATAAAACCTTCCAGCAGCGTGCAGAAGAATGAGGAAGTACTCCATCAAATAACTTGGTGTCACAAGTTGACGGTGAAGCAGCAGCTCCCCTGTGGCCAGAATCGAGCATACTCTCATGAAGCCGGGAAAGCTGGAATGTTAAATTGCCTCTGTGCCTGTCTATATATGTTGTATGTCTAAATGGCATTCAATGTTTGCCATGTATATGTGCATTATCATCAGCCCTGAGTACCCTGCAGGGTGAGAAGGCCAGAATATTGTGCTATGGTAATAATATAATATATTGTATTTACATATTACTTGTAATCCGCTCTGAGTCCCCTTTGGGGTGAGAAGGGCGGCATATAAATGTCGTAAACAAATAAAAATAAATAAATAAATAAATAAATATTCTTTTTCCTTTTCAGTACAACAAATATAAGTACTATGACCTATGGATCTGGAACATCAGTAAACGGCACTTCCTCCCCAAATCACTGCTTGCACCCACAGAATATAAACTAAGACTCCCAGCATTTAGTCAATCCTTTTGCATTCCTTTGCACTGTCTTCCATAAATGTTTGTATGCAATTTGTCACTACACTATTAGAATTGTATAGACTCCAATATATAATCGTCCTCTACTACTCAGATATCCTATAACTAAGCTCTATAGTCAAAGGCAAATTAAATGTCATTTTTTTCACTTTGAAACTGAATAAATGGAAGGTGAGAGGTTACTGAAACACTGGTAAAAATTAACTAGAAAGAACCAAACCCCTCCTTAAGTACGTCCAAGTTAAGAAGGGGTAATTTTTCCAAGTCATGTTAGTCTTATTGAAAATTACCATATATTCCGGAATACAAGGCAACGGGGGTATGAGACAACCCCCCCAACTTTTGATGATAAAATACAGAGTTAGGGATATACTCGCCGTTTAAGACTACCCCCCCCCCTTTGAAGACTATGCCCCCGCCACTTGCTGTTCAAGGACCTCCTTGTCCTCGCTACTTACCTCCTCTGAAGGCCACTGGGCTTGCCTAGGCGCAAGGAAGTGCCTCCGGACGCCGATTCCTGGCAGCGCTGGGCGATGGCGTGTCTTGGATGTGCTCCCAGAGGCATGCTGGGAGCAGTAGTTCCCTGACTCCTACTGCTCCCAGCATGCCTCTGGGAGCACATCCAAGGCACGGTATTGGCCAGCGCTGCTAGGAGTTGGTGTCCGGAGGCACTTCCTTGGGCCTCTGGACGCCGACTCCCAGCAGTGCTGGGCGGCGGCGTGACTTGGATGTGCTCCCAGAGGAATGCTGGGAGCAGTAGGATTCGAGGAAGTACTGCTCCCAGCATGCCTCTGGGAGCACTTCCAAGGCATGCTGTTGCCCAGCGCTGCTAAGAGTCATCCGAGGACGCAATACAATACAATACAATACAATACAATACAATACTGTATTGTATTGTATTAGTGATTATTTGGATGCTGCACATCCTATCTCACAGGAAGAGTATGATGATGAGCAGGCCCGTAGCTGGGGGGGGGGGGGGGGTGGGGTGGGGGGGAAATATATTTGATATAGGCAGCGAATTGTGCCTCCCTTTGTAAGCCGCCCTGAGTCCCCCCTCGGGGGTGAGAAGGGCGGGGTAGAAGTAACTGAAATAAAAATAAAATAATAATAATAATAATTGGCCTCCGGACACCGACTCCAGGCAGCACTGGGCAACAGTGTGTCTTGGATGTGCTCCCAGAGGCATTCTGGGAGCAGTTGTTTCCCGACTCCTACTGCCCCCAGCATGCCTCTGGGAGCACATCCAAGACACGCTGTCGCCCAGTGCTGCTTGGAGTCGGCGTCCGGAGGCATTTCCTGGGCCTAAGCAAGCCTTTGGAGGAGGTAAGCGGCGAGGGCAGAGGAGATCCTTGAATGGAGGGGAAGGGAAAGGCCAGCGGGCCACCACCCCCAGCCGGTCTCGGTGGCAATGTGGCCTGCCACTCCTCCTCCCCATGCCCTCCCTCCCTCCACCCTCCTCCTCCCTCCCTCCCTCCCTTCTCAAGCCGCGCCACTAAGGGCGATTTTATTTTTTTCTTTAATTTATTGTATATACTCGAGTATAAGCCTAGTTTTTTAGCCCCTTTTTTAGCCTGAAAAAGCTCCCCTCGGTTTATACTCGAGTCAAGGTTATTTATTATTTTACTCTGTTATTAGTATTATTTTTATTTCATTTTATTATTTTACTCTATTAATTATTATTATTATTATTATTATTATTATTGTCATTATGCTTATTATTTTACTCTGATATTATTACATTTATCATTCTACTTTGTTATTGTTATTATTGTTATCACATTTATTATTTTACTCTATTGTTATTACATTTCCATTATTTTACTTATTATTCTACTTTATTATTACATTTATTATTATTATTACTTATTATTTTACTTTATTACATTTATTATTTATTATTATCTATTATTACATTTATTATTTTCATCTATTATTATTATTATTACATTCTACTCGAGTCAATGTTATTTACTTTTTTACTTTGTTATTAGTATTATTTTTATTGCATTTATTATTTTACTCTATTTATTATTATTATTATTACGTTTATTATTTTACTCTTATTATTATTATTATTACATTTATTATTTTACTCTATTTATTATTATTATTACACTTATTATTTTACTCTGATATTATTACATGTATTATTTTACTTTATTATTATTATTACATTATACATTTATTATTTTACTCTATTATTATCAGAAGGATACGTAAGCACATTTACATTGAAGAAAGTTAGAATAATGGTTTAATCAGAGTTGGATATCTTAAATTACAGTTTTATGTAAATATCCAGAAACATTTAACCTACTGATCCCTCAATTAATATAATTTTATTGGTACCTATTAATTAATATAATTTTATTGGTACCTATTAATTAATATAATTTTATTGGTACCTATTAGCTGCTACATTTCCCACCCTCGACTTATACTCGGGTCAATACGTTTTCCTGGAGGTTTTTTGCAGTAAAATTAGGTTCTCGGCTTATATTCGGTTCGACTTATACTCGAGTATATACGGTATTATTTTAATTTATACCCGGCGTACTGGACGACCCCCAACTTTTAATAATATTTTCCAGGCATAAAAAGTCGTCTAGTACCCCAGAATATACGGTATTTCATATAAACACTATTAGCTTGTAATACATAAAAAGGAGGGCTATTTCATGAACTATATAAAAAAAATTCCAACCCATCCAGCTTGAAGATGACCCACCGGGTTCCATTTCTATGAGGTCAATGTATTCACGCTTCCAGGGAATGATTGAGGAAATCAATACCATAACATGCTCAAAATCCCAACAGCTGTCCTGGGGCCCTTGGCATGGCAAGAATAGGCACGGGCAGCTACAAGGCTATGGCAAAGTTCAGGACTAAGTCTATTTCTAAAAGACCCCAATTAATTTCCCAGGGCCTGGGGTGAACGGGATTGAGGCGTGCACAGTTCAGTTCTTAATCAAATCAACGACTCGACATCAAAGATATAAACAGAGGAAGACAAAAAATCAGGGCTCACCTCTTGCACAAACGAAACAAAAGCCTACATTTACAGCTGATGAAGAGTGATGGCTCCTTTTGGAATGGTTACTACAGATGAGAATGTGGGATGACACAAACAAACTTCCCGCAGCAATACAGCCATCTCCCGAGTGATAGGCAATGGGGCACCTCAAACATCTCACCATGCGACCTGTTTGATATAAAATGGACCAGATGACAGTCCGTTTAGAACAGCGGTGGAGGTTAGGTTGAGAGATATAGATAGATATACATGTACATGTACATGTAACAACTTTTCAAAAAGGAACAACATTTTTTGCTTCCCTTCCCCTTTTGCCTCCCACGAAACTCAAAGGCACATCTATGCTGGAGTTATTCCAGGGGAAAATTTCAAAAAACAATATACAAGGGTTGAATGAAAAGTAATGCCTCCACCTTCATAACTCAACAGATGGCAGTACCAGTATGCGGCAGATACTGGCTTGTTCAGTGGACTCTCCTCTACATTTCCATTTTGGTGGGAAGCCTTAGCATTGAATGGTTGTGTTGTTAAAGTGAAAAGTAATGCCTCCACCTTCGTAACTCCTCAACAGATGGCAGTACCAGTATGTGGCAGGTACTGGCTTGTTCAGTGGACTCTCCTCTACAGTTCCATTTTGGTGGGAAGCCTTAGCACTGAATGGTTGTGTTGTTAAAGTGAAAAGTAATGCCTCCACCTTCGTAACTCCTCAACAGATGGCAGTACTGGTATGCGGCAGGTACTGGCTTGTTCAGTAGGACTCTCCTCTACAGTTCCATTTGGGTGGGTGGGAAGCCTTAGCACTGAATGGTTGTGTTGTTAAAGTGAAAAGTAATGCCTCCACCTTGGTAACTCAACAGATGGTAGTACCAGTACGCGGCAGGTACTAACTTGTTCAGTGGACTCTCCTCTACAGTTCCATTTTGGTGGGAAGCCTTAGCATCGAACGGTTGTGTTGTTAAAGTGAAAAGTAATGCCTCCATCTTCGTAACTCCTCAACAGATGGCAGTACTGGTATGCGGCAGGTACTGGCTTGTTCAGTAGACTCTCCTCTACAGGAAGCCTTAGTATTGAATGGTTGTGTTGTTAAAGTGAAAAGTATGGAACCCTGCACAGATGGTCGGTCAATGCGACTTTATGCAAGTTAACAATCACTCAGAGAGAAATTTCAAGCATAATCGGCATTTCACAAGAACATGTGGGTCACATTATTGCTTTGTTTGGCATTACTTTTCATTCAACCCTCGTACATATGGAAAAGTTTTCTAAAATTTGCACCACGTGTAACTAGGTTCAGCTTGATATTTTGGATGAAGAAGACAAGAGCGAAGATCAAATTTATGAGAATCTTTGTTGACAGGGCTAATGCTCTGATTTGGTCCCCATGTAGCTACATCCCAAACTAAACCTTTTCCATTCTGAATTGACAGGGGAGAAATAGGATTACCATACAATTTCACAGCTAGTGCTCAAATTTGCTTGTTTTCCTCTCCCCGTCTGATCTGTTTTTCCTTTTGTGTCATGGCTTTTGAACAGGATTATTTCTGCGTTTGATTTATTAAAATATTCCCATCCAAACCCAAGTAACGAAGGTGGAGGCATTACTTTTCATTCAACCCTCGTAGTAAGAGTCTCGCTTATCCAACCTTCACTCATCCAATGTTCTGTATTATTCAACGCAGTCTGCCTCCCGCCTGGATCCACACCTGTTTCAATACACTGTGATGTTTTGGTGCTAAATTCATAAATACAGTCATTACTACATAACGTTACTGTGTATTGGACTGCTTTTCTGTTGATTTGTTGTAGACCCCATTTACAACCAAGTTTCAAAACAATTCACCAATCTACTGATTTTTTAGAATTATTTTAAGTTTTAAACATAACATTTTTTTAAAATAAGACACATTGCAAGAGAGGGTTCTTGGGAATTGTAGTCACTGGTTATGTCCATTCTCAGCCAATCAGAACATGGACATCACCAGGCTTTTTACTGAGAGAGAAAAAACTTCAACTCCCATCATGCTTTGAGAGGAACTTTCAATGGCCAACTTATGCTAGTGCCACTGGGAAAGTGAGTTCTAAGGGCCCTCTCTGGAGGAGGAAGTAACTTTCCAAGAAAAAAATGGAGAAAAAGACACCACAAACCCCTGATTCAGGTAATTTGTGGACTTAACTCTTTCTGAAAATATCGTCTCTCTGGATTCGTTTCACTGGTCTGTTCCTCTCTCTCTTCCCCTTTCTATTTTCAGAAATTACACAAAAATGGCCCTCCAAAAACTACAAATCTGTGATTCGGGCCCAACTCAACTACACACATCTTGTCTCTCCCTTCACCGCATCTCTGCATACGAACCCACACGAACTACGATATAGTAATATATAATACTACTATTGTGCTATGCTGATAATATAATATATTGTATGTACATAATTATATATTACATGTAATATTGTATGCATATACAATATATTATATTATTAAATGAATCTACTCATCCAGAGTTGATCCATTTATTGCACAAAGAGCTGCATGTTTTCTCCCACCACCATCCTACAGATTGGTTTATATCACAAGAAGTGATGTTCCGTCAGAATAAATGTCGATTCACTCTCACGTCCTGGCAAAACATTCCTCCACCCAGATACAAATGCAGAGCCACTGTTTGAATCTATTAGAAACCTGTTGTCCCTGTACTGTGCTAGGACAAATAAAACACATTTTCCAAGACAATACAGATATATAGATAATCCTCAAGCACAGGTACCAATCTTAGCATTAGAAGGTGCCCTTAGATCAGGGGTGTCAAACTCATTTTCATCGAGGGACACATCAACATTATGGTTGACTTCAAAGGACCACTGAATCCATCGACAGAGAATAAGTGGACACGGAGGGCAAATTATAATTATTTTTTTTGCAGACTGGTTGGTGCTCTTTAGTTTTTCCCCAGTTTAGTATCATATCAAATCTCTTTTGATTATCCGCCATAGCAACGAAAAGCACTGAGGTTGGGGACATCTTATCCACAAGCCTTGTACCTAGCTTTAAACCTCAGATCAGTGATTCCCAATCTTTGGTCCTTTGGGTGTTTCAGATTCCAGCTCCCAGAATGCCTGATTGTCAACTGAGCCAGCTGGGGCATCTGGGAGTTGAAGTATTAGAATGACCAAAGGTTGGGAACCACTGGATTAGGTGATTAAAAATCATTCAAACCTTAGATCATAAAAAGACCATCCTAATAATAATAATAATAATAATAATAATTGTATTATTATGTAAAAATACATCACACAGTCCTAGACGCTTAGGAAGTGTTCGACTTGTGATTTTGTGATACGAAATCCAGCATATAGATCTTGATTGCTGTGACATATACTGTGTTTTTGTGTCAGTAAAATAATAATAATTAATGATCATTATGAATAATAATTATAATAAATACTTATAATAAATAATAATAATAGGAAAGTGTTTGACTTGTGATTTTGATACAAAATCCATCATATAGATCTTGTTTGCTGTGACATACTGTGTTTTTGTGTCAGTAAAATAATAATAATAATAATTAATAATTAATAATTAATAATTATAATTAATTATAATAGGGAAGTGTTTGACTTGTAATTTTGTGATACGAAACCCAGCATATAGATCTCGTTTGCTGTGACATACTGTGTTTTTGTGTCAGTAAAAATAATAATTAATAATACTAATTAATTATAAATAACAATAATAGGGAAGTGTTCGACTTGTGATTCTGTGATACGAAATCTAGCATATATATCTTGTTTGCTGTGTCATACTGTGTTTTTGTGTCAGTAAAATAATAATAATTAATAATTAATGATAAATAGTTATAATAATAATAACAATAGGGAAGTGTTCTACTTGTGATTTTGTGATACGAAAACCAGGATATAGATCTCGTTTGCTGTGACATACTGTGTTTTTGTGTCAGTAAATTAATAATAATTAATAATAATAATTAATTATAAATAATAATAATAATAATAGGGAAGTGTTCAACTTGTAATTTTGTGATACAAAATCCAGCATATCTATCTCATTTGCTGTGACATACTGTGTTTTTGTGTCAGTAAAATAATAATAAATAATAATAATAATAATTAACTATAATAGGAAAGTGTTTGACTTGTGATTTTGTGATACGAAACCCAGCATATATATCTCGTTTGCTGTGACATACTGTGCTTTTGTGTCAGTAAAATAATAAGAATACTTTATTTATATTCCGCCCTATCTCCCAGTAGCGACCTTATTCCCCTCACTTGAATCTCACTTGAGTCTTTATACCGCAAGGCTTTCATTTTAATGCCCGAGCTTCTGCAGCATTATATACCTTCCCTTAAGGGAAGAAAGACCTCTCTTACCTTTGCTTGCTTTATGAATGTCCTTGTCTACCGAGCAGGATGTGCAGCAGTGCTGCGGGCAACGGAATCCCCGGGACTCAAAGACGGTGGTGGCAAACTTGCGCACACAGGCTTCGTGGTAGAATTTGCCACAGGCGTTGACAGAGCAGCGCTTCACGTCTTTGCCCGGGAGCTTGCAGGAAAAGCACGTGTGCTGCCCTTTAGAAAAAGAAGAAAGGGGTTGGTTTGAACTTCAAAGAGAAAGCAAAGAGGAAGAGGATAGTGTATTAGGTCATAGTTCAAATTCTTCAGACAGAGGCGACCCATCTATATAAATAAAAATGTCATGTTTGTTTGTGGGATTAACAGAACTCAAAAACCACTGGGGGAATTGACACCAAATTTGGACACAAGACACCTCTCAGGCCAACGAGTGACCATCACTCATAAAAACATGGGAAAACACAGCAGAAGATGACTTAAAGCCAAAACACCAAAAATACATCACAACGCATGTGCAAAACCACATATATACACAAATACACATATATACACATATACACAAATATATACAGAAATATATGCACACACAAAACACATATACACAGAAAGGGACAAGAAAGGAAGGAGAGAAAGAGGGAAAAGGAGGGAAGGAGAAGGGAAAGAAGGAGGGAAGGAGAGAAGGAAATAAAGTGAAAGAAGGAAGGAAAAAGAGGGAAGGAAGGAAAGAAGGAACAAAAGAAATAAAGAGGGAAGGAAGGGAAGAAAGAGGGAAGGAAGGAAGGAAAGAGAGAAGGAAGGATGGAACCAAAGAGCAAAGGAAGGGAGGAAAGAAACAGGTAGAGAAGGAAGAAAGAAAAAGGGAAAGTAGAAGGAAAAGAGGGAAGGAAGGAAAGAGGGAAGGAAGGAAGGAAGGAAGGAAGGAAGGAAGGAAGGAAGGAAGGAGAGAAAGAAAGGAAAGAAAGAGGGAGGAAAGGTTTGGCCAAAAACACTGAAAAACACAGTGAAAGAGACTTAAAAAGCAAAAAAAAACTCCAAAACATTACAACGCATGTGCATAACCACATAAATACACATATACACAAATATATAAATACACACATATACACATATATACACACACAAAACTCATATACACAGACTGGGCCACAGCAATGCGTGGCAGGGGACAGCTAGTCTATATAAATAAAAATGTAATGTTCGTTTGTGGGATTAACATAACTCAAAAACCACTGGACAAATTGACACCAAATTTGGACACAAGACACCTAACAACCCAATGTATGTCCTTCACTCAAAAACCAACGAAAACAAAAAGCAGAAAGGACTTCTAAACTGCATGTCCACAAAGGAGAAACTGAATACTCAGAAAGAGAGCCATGGCCGCGCCCCCTCCTCCTCCTTGCGGGAAACAGCCGGCCGGCCGTTAAAGCATGAGGAGCCAGGCGCGCATGCACTGTCACACACACACACACACACACAAGCCAGAGTGGGCACCATGGGAGTGGAGGTGGAGGCTTGCCGCATGGAGCCCCTTTTTTTTCCCTGCTATGTCAGGAGGGCAGTCTCCTCCTTCTCCTCCTTTCCCTGTTGGAAGAGGAAGGGGCGGGTGTGTGGCATCGGCAGCAGCGGAGCCCCCAGGCAAGGAAGAAGGGGAGGAGGAGGAAGAGGAGGAGGAGGCGAGGAAGGTCGACGGTGCTTGAGTGAAGGACCTTCCTTCTCTCTCTCCCTCACTTCCTTCCCTTCTTTCCTCCCTCTCCTCCTCCCTTTCTTTCCTTTTCTCCTTCCCCTTTTTCTTTCCTTCTCTCCTTCCTTCTTTCTCTTTCTCTTCCCTTCTTCTCCCTTTTCTTTCCCTCCCTCTTTCTCTCCTTCCTTCCTTCCTTTCCTTCTCTCCTTCCTCCCCTTTTTTCTTTCCTTCTCTCCTTCCTTCTTTCTCTTCCTCTTCCCTTCTTCTCCCTTTTCTTTCCCTCCCTCTTTCTCTCCTTCCTTCCCTTTTTTCTTTCCTTCCTTCCTGTCCCCTTCCTTCCTTTCCTTCTTTCTATGTAAGATATAAAATACAATATTAAATGGGGCAGTCAAGAAGTAAGAGAGAAGGAGGGAAAGAGGGAAGGAATGAGGGAGGGAAAGGGGGAAGGAAGGAAGGAGGGAGGGAAAGAAGTAAAGAAAGAAAGAGAAGCAAGGAAGGAGAGAATGAAATAAAAAGTGAAATGAAAAAGAGAGCGAAGGAAGGAGAGAAGGAACGAATGATAGGGAAGGAAGGAAGGAAAGGAAGGAAGCAGGCATGTAGCTGGGGGGGGGGGCCTTGAGGGGCTTCAGCCCCCCCCCCGAAATTCTCATGGTGGTTCGCGAAAAGGCCTTACGGGTGCATTATTTAAACTTTTATGTTTATTCATATCATGATCTGATCACCATGCTCAATCTATCCCATATGCATGGGGGTATTGGGGTAACGATACAAAAGGTTTGCTAGGGTAGACCCTCTTTCACTCAGACTCAGCCCCCCCGAATCAAACTCAGCTCCCCCCGAAACAAAATCCTGGCTACGGGCCTAACCATCCTTGTGGGAGGCAGGAAGGAAGGAAGGAAGAGGAAGGAAGGAAGGAAGGAAAGAAAAAAGAAAGAAGGAGAAAGGGAGGAAAGAAACAGGTAGAGAGGGAAGAAAGAAGAGAAATAGGAAGGGAAAGAAAAAGAGGAAAGAGAGAAAGAGGGAGGGAAGGTTGGGCACAGCAACGCGTGGCGGGTACAGCTAGTAGTAGTAGTAGTAGTAGTAATAATAATAATAATAATAATGATGATGATGCAACAACTGTATGTATTTCAGCTTGTTGTGGCCCCTGTGAAGGCACACAACAAAGCCTATCAATGTCATCCTTGTGACTTACTCATTGCAAAGGAAAGAATGGGACTCAGGAAAGTGTTAAGTCCATAAAGGGAATGCTAGACTGGAATTTACCTTCGTAATCATGACAGCAAACAAGATGTAGACTGGAAAACTGAACGCTTTAGTACATTTTGAAAAGACACAGGAGAGGAAAGCCAATTGGTGACTACGATAAGGACATGAAAGCTGCACCGAACAATCTCCGAGCAGAAGCCTCCAGCCTTTCACTCCACTGAGTTTCATGTGTCAGGCATCACGGGCTTATTTACCATTTTTGCACTCTGCACAGATGAACTTCCCATCAGGCTGTGAGCTCAGGCCTAAGCATTCGGTATGGAAGACTCGGTAGCACTCGCCTTCACAAGATATCAGGGATTCGCCAGAACTTTCGCAAATCTTAAAGGAAAGAAATTATTTTCAGAGAGCACATCACATGGCAGGTGTTTTAAAGGCAACCAACCAGAGAACACAAAAATCAAACAACCACAACAATTATTATTATTGCTATCGTTACCCCCCTCCCCTCCCCCAATATTGGGGTTGAAAACAGCTTACAATGTAGAAGTATACAATGAAAAACATTAAAAGCAAACATTACAATATAATTAAACTATTTACAGAATTAAAACAATGCAACACATCAATATGAACGATTATCGTATATTAGCCGAGTTTTTCAACCCTTTTCCTGAGCTGAAAAAGCCTCCCTTGTAATATATATATATATATATATATATATATATATATATAACATATATTTATATATTCGCTCCTCTTCCCCTCCCTTGATAGTGTTTTGTTTTCCAGTCAAAAAGGAGGGAGGGAGGGAGGGAGGGAGGGGAAATATATTTCATGTCCCCCTTGTTTATATGGCTCTCTTTCAAACCCACCCAATTTTCTGGCTTTTTGGGTGTATATCTAAATGTAGCCACCCTGAGTCCCCATTGGGGAGATGGTGGTGGGGTATAAATAAAGTTGTTGTTGTTATTATTATTATTATTATTATTATTATTATTATTATTATTATTATCTTTATATGTGCATTTTGTTCCCTTGGAAATTTTCCCCTCATATGATTGTAGGTCTTTGCAAATCTTATCTATCTATCTATCTATCTATCTATCTATCTATCTATCTATCTATCTATCTATCTATCTATCAGCGTTTCTCAAACAGAGGGTCAGGACCCCTGTGGGGGTCGTGATGGAGTGTCAGAGGGGTCGCCAAAGCATAAGAAAACATGGCATTTTCTATTGGTTAGGGGGTTTCTGTGTGGGAAGTTTGGCCTAATTCTATCGTTGGTGGGGTTCAGAATGCTCTTTGAATGTAGGTGAACTATAAATCCCAGCAACTACAACTCCCAAATGTCAAGGTCTGCTTTCCCCAAACTCCACCAGTGTTCACATTTTGGCATACTGACGATTCATGCCAAGTTTGGTCCAGATCCATCATGGTTTGAGTCCACAATGCTGTCTGCATGTAGGTGAGCTACAACTCAAAAACTCAAGGTCAATGACCACCGAGCCCTTCCAGTATTTTTTGTTGGTCATGGGAGTTCTGTGTGCCAACTTTGGTTCAATTCCATCGTTGCTGGAGTTCAGATTACTCCTTTATTGTAGGTGAACTATAAATCCCAGCAACTACAACTTCCAAATGACAAAATCAATCCCCCTCCCAACCCCACCACTATTCAAATTTGTGTGTATTGGATATTTGTGCCAAATTTGGTCCAGTGAATGAAACTGAGTTCTGCATCTCAGATATTTACATTATGATACATAACAGTAGCAAAATTACAGTTATGAAGTAGCAACGAAAATAATTTTGTGATTGGGGGTCACCACAACATGAGGAATTGTATTACGAAGTCACAGCATTAGGAAGGTTGAGAAACACTGATATAGAGAGATAGCTAGAGATTTCCATGTACCTGTTTTTCTGTGTGTGTATACACACACATTATTTTATATATGATTTTCCCCCTCACATGTTTGCAAGGCTTTGCAAATCCTATATAGATTTAATTATCTATATATAGAGAGATGTCTAGATAAATATATATGAATATCAATATATAGGGCTTGGAAATATTGCAGGAGGAAAATGCACATATAGAGAGAGAGAATTTGCAAGTGTTTCAGGGGGAAATGCATATGTGAAATTAGTATAT